GACAGATAGACAGATAGACAGATAGACAGATAGACAGATAGACAGATAGACAGATAGACAGATAGACAGATAGATAGATAGATAGATAGATAGATATCACCTTCGCTCCGCGATAAAGGTAAGCGTTGTTAGTTGTCAGGTCTTCATCATGCTCCATGTGAAAAAAGAAAAATACAGTACTCGGTTAAGGAAATTGGAAAGAAGATTTTTTTTTCAGGCTTCTTCTTTCCAATTGCTTAAATTGGAAAATTTACTGCGATGATCATTCTTCACTTTCATCTACAACCGCAGTTCATATACGAATTATTTCATATATACTTCACATCACAGTAGCAGACGTTACATAAAAAACAACCACAATAATTGAGTGCATTAACATTCATTCAAAATTCCTGTGAAGTACGTATCAAGGCTTTTTGTATAAACTGTCCCACATACCTGCAGTTAAGTGGTTGTGTGAACAAAAAAGGTTGATTTCATTTAAACTGACAGTTCTCAATTTTACAAGAGTGCTTGAACTTAAACGTCGCAGACATTATAACCAGTGTCGTGGGCGTTACACTGTAAATCACCGCCAAGTATAGAACATAAATCAGCTTTTCTGCATTGTCTTTGGTCATATAAAGCAAGATAGGTTAATTGCATTCGAGAGAACACAGTTCTAATCAGGCAGTGCGGAAAGATTCGAATTTTTGTGTATGTATCTTTCTATGGATACCAATTTGGGCCCCCAAAAAATTCTTCAGGGGCGAATGACATCATCTCCATGTTCGTCCATGTGCTTTCTTTCGATTGTTGTTCGATATTGCGGACTTTCGAGTGTCGAGGCAGCTTATTGTGGACTGTAGCGGATAAGCTGTTTATTTAAATTTCGAAGTCATTGTTAATGGCATTTAAAAACCTTGCAGACATGTCTTCGCGAAACGTGTACAACTTTTCGTACGAACAGAAAGCTGTGGTTGGGCTGCATGTTGTGTACCCTCATCTCTTCGACCAAAACCAAAGCTGCTTTCTACTGAATAAATCAAAGGAGGAAATGTGTAGTTTCACTTCGCTGGCCTAGATTGCTGTGTGCAAAATATGTAACAAAAACAAAACAAAAGTGTTTACATAGGAAAAGAGTTCAACTCCCACAGGATTGCTTTGGTACGCTAACGTGTCCTCTGTTTCATTGTTTCGGAAGTGAAAATGCCCTGTAGCTGTTCCCCCAAAGCCAAGGCGATTCAAAGTCATGTTCGTAAACAGAATAATTGTCCTAGTTTTGGTAATACAGGCACGTCGTCTCGCATACCGACGGAACAGGCATCGTTTGTGTTGATTTACACAGTCAGTATAAAACACGAACTGCAGACTGCGGACTGCAGACTACGGACTGTAGACTGCGGACTGCAGACTGCGCACTACGAACTGGGTATAAAACATGGACTCGGGTATAAAACGCGAACTGCGGACTAAATGCAGCCTACCAACTGCAGTCCGTGTTTTTTACTGACCGGTCGTAACTAATATTACGTAATACATGTGTAAGCGAGAACAAACCATGCATGTGCTTTCGATCAATTCATTTGTTTTTGCCCCTGCTGGAGAGAGGCCAATTTCACGCCTACCTAACAGCTCAGGCCCAAAATGCTGTTCCTAGAATTTCTGCTTTTTTAACATACTGAACCTACCAAAACTTGAACGCACTCTTTAATCTACGATTACTGCTAGTATTTACTGTTGTTACGGATGAAACTGGTTACTATTTCATGTAAAAGCCATGAATTATCACAGCACAGTTTGGAGGACACAACATGGCTTTTACATAAAGTACCAGCTGCATTTGAGCATGCTCTTTACATTCTGAGCCTGGAAACATCTGCTTGTCACCAGAATAATAAGTTTTTTTCTGTCAGAGAATAGACGAAAATGGCAGTTTTGTTGAATTCAAGGTCCCTTCACAGAGTTTGCACAACTACTTATCATTGGCCTAGACAAGGGAATACAAAAGAGACCACTTTTCAAACATTTTTTCTGCTTCTGTTATTGATCCTCACTTTATCAGTTGACCATTTGAAATTCTAAAGCAACCAGCTGTGGAAAAAACTCTTGAACTTAAAAGGAAACATGAAAGGGTGTAACAACTGTTGGAAATGACTGTGTTCATCAGAAATATAGCAGAACCTCTTCTATTGCTGAAATTTGAGAATAGTTCCCAAGCGTCTTGAAAGCCGTTATTTGTGTCAAAATGTTTGTCACGTGAAACTAGCATGTCTAGAAGGACATAATGGTCTTGGGGTGTAATGTTTTGGCTTTTAGGATCCATTTCAAAATGTTTTAACTCAAAGTTCAAGAAATGTAACGTCCGCGATGTAACATCCAGAACAGTGTTTTACTGTCATTATTTGGTTGAAGGGAGTCATTTGCATGACACTCAAAATGAATAAGTTCAACCACTAGCTATCTTCAAATCCACAGCACAGGAATGGGTACTAAATTGGCTCCTACTTGTGCTATTTTTTTTGTCATTATTGTTATTATTTTGAAGCCAACGCTTTGGAAAATGCCCCATTTTAACCCCACACTTGCCTACGATATGTCAATGATATTTTTATCTGGACTCAAGGTCTGGATTAGCCAAAAATTTTCATTGATTGTCAACAACATTCACCTGCCATTAAATTCACAAGTTCACACACATCTACTAATGTAACTTTCCTTGACGTTAATGTCTCTTGAACTAATTATGGTAGCATCTGTTCTGACCCCTACACTAAACCCACAGACAAACACCAACATCCACTCTATTATTCATCTTGCCATTCCTTTCAGTCTAGCACTCTGTCTACAACATACTGGTTCTACATAGGCAACATTTAATACCCATGCAGCTCAACTTGACGCTCAACTTACCGCTTAACCTCCTCAATCGAGGTTACAACTGTAACTTCCTCACCAAGCAAATACAATGCGCCGCTGACATCCCCTGCAGACTCAATCTACAAACCAAAGACTTCAACAAACCTAAACATGTACCATTTATAACTACTTTTAATCCATCACTTCCCCACATTTCTAATATTATCAAAAAACATTTCAATTTGCTGCTAACTTCTAACCGTTGCAAACGCGTTTTTTGGTATAATTATGCCTGTTGTGGCCTTCAGACTCTCTCCCAACCTTGGTGACTTCATATTCGACTGAACCCCAACTCACCTATGGGTCTTTCCATTGTGGTAAAAACTTTGCTACTTGTCCCCACAAGTAACTAACTTCCTACACCTTCTTTTCTACTGGGAAAACTTGCCCCATCAAATCTAACCTGACTTGTGGCACTAAAAACCCCATCTACATGATTCATTGTAACCACTTTAATTTAGGGGAGACTAAACAACGACTTAATGAACACCGCTGTACTATTAGATTGGCAACAGCCCTCCATTTTCAATCGTTGAAAGGGTGGATAGAATCGGGAGAGAATTGGACACCAGTGCAAAATGGGAGACTTGACAGGGTAGAGGGTGGGGACCAAGAAATATATAGGGACTGTGACCGTGGAGTGTGGACATCTTAGGAAAAAAGTGAATTCCCTGTTTCTCCAGAAGTAAGAAGTTCCCATTGGTTGAAATGCAACAAACGTATCATCACCTTGACAGTGGCTGATCACGGTTGCATCCAGGCGTGTTTTGTTGTTTGCAGAAGTTGTTATCACTGACACATGCCATGCTTCGTAATAGAGCAGTTGTTAGAATCCTGTTTAGAGAAATTTCCACATGTTGCTTCGCTCGGCGATAAACAGAAAGAAGCTGTTGTTCATCATCTTTGGTCTAAGCACGTTGTCACGGGATATTTTTTGCCTCGCCAAAGATCTACGAGGTGAATTAGACAATCTCTTAAATCGCTCATTGCCTTACCTTTATGGTGATTCTACGCCTTCTGTTGGTACGCACTGTGGACCTATTTTTGAGCCATCTCGTGATTATGCACCCACCATTGCACCCGCCTTTGCTGTATATCAAATAGTCTCTATTTTTGGGGGCACATATATTTGACTCCAAACATGAAAGAACAGTTTGATCGCTTTGACAGCCATTTTGTTCATCATGATCGGGCATGTTGCCCCTCTTACAGAAGGCTATTGTTTATGACCTAACAACTGACTGACTGAGCGAGGGAATTTTTTCCTCAACTAACTGCTACATGTATACACCCCCCTATCTACATGTATGCTATCACTCGTTAACAGTGATGTATTTTTCTGTCATTTCTTTAATTGCTTGGTTTTTCATGTGCATTGTTTTTAGAGAATGATTGGCAACCAGTCTTCATGGTGTCGACTTTGGTGTGTTTTGAGACATGGGAGAATTAAATGCTGGAAAAGTAAAGAGGACTTTGATGAGAACGAACTGGTGGAGTGTATAGAAATCAAGCCAGTAAGACTTGCTTTCTGCTTTTTAGTATCAATCATTGTTTAACTCTGTCACACAGAGATTGAATATTGAGCAGAAGTGGTGGAAGCTCAAAATTATTTGTTCTCATGTATTTGTTTTTTATCACCCTTAGTTATTGTATCTAGCTAAAAGAAGACATTTATTCAAAAATCTGTCCCTGAATTTTACTTGAATCATTCCCCCCGTGACTGCAGAACATGGCTGCAAAAATATTAATAAGTGGAAACGAGAGCAAAACGAGAGCATCCATGGACATAATGGAGCTTTTTTTTTAAAAAAGTAAAACTTGCTCCAGGATAGTTCTACTTCAAAGTGGTCTACACCCTGATACAGCTGCAGCACTGCTCAAATGTAAGTTACCACCTTTGGTCTCGTTTCTCTCGAGATATAACTTGTTTCTCTCGAAGATCACTGAAGCATTTAGTTGCTGCCGCAGTGACTGAGCCTGGAGCGAACGAACGAGGCAGCTCTCTAGTCGGGAATAGGTCACATTGTAGGGCCTTAAACACGTTTTTGCGAAATTCAAGGGATTGTGGTTGCGGTAAGATCAAAGGCGCCAGGTTCAACCTCAACATTTTTCAGACTGTCAATATTTTCCTTGAATCTCTTCCTTATTGTCTTCAATGTCGCAATAATCCCACTGAAAACGAGTGGGCAGCCTTTGCAATGATATTTATTTAAAAACTCTGCATAAGAGAGGAAACAGGTCTCGTCTTTTATAAGAGACTCGATTGTCAAAATTCCTTTTGCAAGCCATTCTCGAAAATAAACAGGTTTGCGATCAATTCTTTCAAAGAATTATTCCAGAGACGCTGTGTTTTATAATGCTGTAAGGAACAAATGTTGTTATAATTCACCTCGGCCCAAATCAGCAGTATTTCGTTAACGAACATATCAGAAGTTTGGAAGTGGGTTTTGGTATCTATGTTTTTTAGTATCTATTTTCTAGGTTACCCAAAAAAACAGCTTCCCCACCGTATCTGCCAAGTTCTAGGTCAAAGAAGAGTTCCCACTTTCTCATCTTTGTTTTATCAAGATATTTTTGGATCCAGATAGTTTTTAAAGATTTATTGAATGAGAAAAGATCAAAGATTTTAAGCCCACCATCGCTGTACTCGTTAATTATAACGTTTCTTTTAATCTTATCGGGTTTCCCGGCCCATAGGAAATGATAGAAAGCTTCATTCAATTCTTCGATAGCTTGGTGGTTTGTTTGAAGAGGAGAAAAGACATTAACCAGCTGGGAGCCGACTAGGCTTTTTAATATAGTGATTTTTCCAAGTACGCTTAATCTTCGTTACTGCCGGTTTTTAAGTACGTTCTGGACTTTTTCCGTTTTTTCTTTGAAATTCAGATTTATAGTTAGTTCAGGTTTTATTGAGAGCCAAACTCGTATTGTTTTAATTTTGAACTCTTGCTATTTGAAATCTTTTTCTGGACACAAGAGTTTGAGCTTCTCGCCTTTGAACCTGTCCATAACGCTTCCGTTTTTTGTTATTAAGTCTGAGACCAGATATCTTGCTGAATTTTTCTATAACGTCTAGCGAGGCTTCAAGCGTGTCTTTTGAGCCGTCTAAAATTAGTGTGGTGTCATCTGCATATTGACTTAATTTGAATTCATTTTGACTGATTGAAATGCCTTTAATGCTAGGGTCGTGTCGAATTGCGTAAGTTAGAACTTCAACGGAAAGAACAAATAAATATAGAGATAGAGGACAGCCTTGTCTCACACCTCTTTCAATTTTAAAACGTTCGCTCATCCACCGTTGTTTATTGCGCAGCTTTCAATATCACAATAAAGAGTTTGTATCCATTTTTGGATCGAGGGGCCGCAGCGATAGTGTTGTAAGGTTTTTTCAGTGAATGGCCACTCGAGTATGTCAAAGACTTTTTCGAAGTCTAGAAGCAGAATCAAACCAGTGATATTTTTGTCAGCGGTGTAGTTAATGATGCTATCGATCAGACGTATCTTTTCACCAATAAACCTGCCTTAAATAAATCCTGTCTGGTCGTGGTTGATGAGGTTTGGGAGAGTAGCTTGGATTCTATATGTGATTGACTTTGCGGCTATTTTGTAATCGCAATTTAAAAGAGAAAAGGTCGCCAGTTTTTTAAATTTTGAGGTCTGTTTCTTTCTTGGGAATAAGTTTATTACTCCTCAACTCTGAGTTATTGGTAGTTTACCGATCTCGTGTGCAAAGTTAATCGCGGCAATAAGAGCGTCTGAAATGTCGCACCAAAACATTTTATAGAACTCTGCTGGTAGTCCGTCTGTTCCAGGAGTTTTGCCGTCAGCTATTTGCTTCAAGGAAGAGAGACATTCTGTTTCTGTAAGTGGGCCTTCACAGGAAGTTTCTTCTGCTTTTGAGAGATGTACATCCTATTCTTCCGGAAAGAAAGATTTGATGATGGATGGATCTTGCCGATCAGTCAGTTTTTTTGTGTATAAACTTCTATAAAAAGAAAGGCATTCCTTTAATATCTGGTTGTCCTTTGTAATAAAGTTATGCTTGTTTATTCTCAGCTGGCTTACTGATNCCCTGTATAACGTAAAATAAAAAGAGCATGTATAAATAATATATATGTATAAAAAACTAACTACTTTAAAAGATACGCTGAAATTGTTCCTTGTTTATAATGTCTTTTTTCCAGATTAAGGAAATATTTGGTATTTTTCTGGCCTTCGTTGTACCATCGGCTCCGCGACCTCAAAATAGCGCCTTTTGTTCCATATTCTATCGTCTTTTCGTGTTGTTCTTTTTTGCTCTTCAGTACATCTAAAAGTTTTTCCCGTAATTGTCCTTCGATAATTTGGTCTTCCAGTGTTCTTTCGAGCGTGGCTATGGTCTTTTCTATTTTGTCGCCTGGTCGAATCTTTCTTTTTTCCTTTGTTTTACATAATTTAGTGATGTTTCTCTCACCTTTAGTTTTATCATTTCTCATAGGAGAGGGGGAGACACAGAAGGGTTGTTTGCACATTCACTTTTTGTTTCTTGGATCGTATTTTTGATTTTGGTGACATCATTATCTTTTGATAGAAAGACTGTATTTAATTTCCAGAATCCCGGGCCCTTAGGGTTTGAATTTGTCGCGATTTGCATGGTTATCATTGAATTTGGAAAGAAGGTGATAGTAGCTGCTTCCCTCATGTTGTGAGCAATTTCGTGCCATTGGCTGTTGTTGCCAAAATTCTTGGATCAATAGTTTGGCTCTTCTGGTTACTTGGACAGGAGTCCTATAGGTTTATAGCACTTCGACGATACTTGTAATACATTTCACTTGGTAACCAACTGCTGTGTGGACTATCTGTACTTGCGGTCAGGGTAAGAATATCCAGAAAAGGATTCCATTTCAAACCAAGAATGATCACAATTTCATTTGAATCAGATGTGCCATCCTTTGCAGCTTCCTCTCTAAGTGACGAGCTATTTGAGGACCAGGAGCGCAAGTTGAAGTGGGCTTCATTCATGATTGAGCGGGCTTCCTTGTAGTAGGCAACTGTTTCTAGGTCTTGATTGCAACCTGAGATGACATTGTTGACATAGATATTCTCCTTCATATCTTCAGCCACAGTTGTGTTGTAGCTGTCTAGGTGGTGGTATACTTGGAACTTGCTTTCTGGCTCCTCAGGGTTAGATAACCAGAAAAATCTGGTTAAGTCTCTATCACCTTTGTCAAGGCCAACGTGGAAGAATGCCTTTTTGATGTCTGTCGTCAGGCAATAAGTGAAGGTACGGAGTTGCAGAATAATCAAGCATATGTTGTTAAGGAATGGTGGGCCAACAAGGAGACAATCATTCAGGCAGGGTGTGTCAGGTGAAGAGTGGAAGCTGCAGTCATAAACAATTCTGATTGCTGTTGTAGCTGAGTCTTTCTTAACTGTATGGTGAGGGACATAGTGGGCTTAGTGTGTGGGCTGTACAGCATCAACTCTCTCAATGAATCCTTGTGCTTCATGTTCAGCTATAATGTTCTCTTAGGTAGTCAGGAGTTGGGGTGTGGCAGCAAGACAAACCATTTGGTGTAGTTTGTCGGGAGAAAGGGGGAGTCATAGTTCCAAGGGAATTGTGTGTTGTAACTACCATCTTGATTTCTTGTGATCGATTTGTTGATGTAGTTTTCCAAGAACACTTCATAATCATTCTTCTCTGATGGTGGGGAGATGCCCAGGGCTTCTAGAGACCAAAATTTTTATAGGTCAAGTTCACAACAGTAGTGGAAGGTAGGCAGGATGGTGTTTGCAATGGTCCTGAAAGGAGGTAACCCAGTTTTGATTCAACAGCTGTTGGTTCATGGCCAAGGATAACTTCATCTTCAACTAGATCCCAGAAGTGAACCAATAAGAAGTGACACTTCAAAGCTCTTGTCAGACGTAATTGGATGTGCAAGTCTCAGTCCCCTAAGGCGAGGGAGGTTTTCCACACTTTGATGCCTGTGAGTTTGAAGTGGTGTGGCTATCTTTGCTACTAAAACATGGAGGGGGATTTTTTTCACCGGAAGGTGTCACAACATTTATAGTAGCCAGAGGTAGGTGTCTGACAGCTTATGTTTGTCCTCTAAAGGCTGATAGATGAACCTCTTCCTTTTCTGAGGTTTCTAGGCCCACTTGACTGGCTAGGGTGTGAGCGATGTATCAAGGTTGAGCCCCTTCATCAAAACGAATGTTGGCTTCACAAGCTATGTAATCTGTGTACACTGTAACTATAACTTGAGTAGAGGAACACTGAGGGGTTGATATTGATAAGTACCTCTGAAATTGGGGTTGGTTGTGATAGGGGGTGGCCCTGTGTTGAGCCTGGTGTGGTGATTTCCTCGACATTTGAGGCATTGGTATCTTGATTGACAGGCATTAGATTTGGGACCTCCAAGACAGTTTTTCCCTTTTGACAATAGGCCACGTTCGCTACGAGGCTTTCAGGACAAACCTCTATCTTTGATGGTGTTTTCTTTGTTTCCAAGTCTCTTTTGGGAATTGTAAGACAAAAGAAACTTTAAAAATTTACCATTTGACCCAACAATCAAATTGCTGTACATCATCATCTGACGAACCACAGAATTGCCTGGGACTCTGGATGACTCTGGAAAGCTGGTAAACTTAACTTCCAACAAACACCCTTTAACAGCAACAACTGCCGGTACAAAAATCTTATTGGGGACTAACAAACCCTACAACTGGGCCTCAAACAGACAGACTTAATTTGACTAATTATTGATGGACCTCAAACAGACCAACTTTATTTGACTAACATCAGGCGGATCGAAACTTCCAAGAACTGATCAGTGACTGCTGAGAAACGTTAGTGCCCTCCATGTGGCAGAAACATAAATTTAACCTGGAACGAAGATACTTATACTCGAGATAAATAGAAAAACTTTGGGTTCCTAGAACGTAAAATGCAACATTTTCATCATTGCAGGCGGGCGACTTAATATCATCAACAATTTTTTTATTAGAGTGCATTATTTTGTCAATTATTTTGTGGCCCACAATTTTTGTAAGCATCTGTGAGTAGCCCGAAGTTGAAAAGTGGTTGAAGGTTGCGAGCTTGACACCAACACACTCATTATCCTCGACGACTGGGACGGACCAGAAGATTTTAAATTATCTTATATCATATTATGATAAAACGGCCATGGAATGCCGCTGCTTTCATCAGTGATAACTGCCTCACTTGTTCTTTGTTCTACAGATTTTATGTTATTAACAGAGCAGATTAAACCATTTTCCAACAAATCGTTCAAGTTTTAGATAGCCTTTTCCATCTGTTGAATTAACATATGCTAAGATCCACATTTCTCTAATAGGAAAATTTAAATCCTTCATACTTTTTTCCAAAACTCTGCTCTCTCGTAAGTAATGTGTGACGCCCACAACCCATACACACCTTATACGTATTCTTGATGCCCTTCCGACAATTCTTACATGGCTCTGTTACTGGTCCTTTTCGCAGTCTAGCAAGGTGTATGTACCAGGACTCCACCATACAACTTTTGTCACAAAGCTCTTTTAATTCAGTGAGTTTATAGTAAGCCACTTGCATCTGTTTTTCTTTCATTGTTTCTCTCTAAATGGGTACACCCAAAGTTGCAGATAACAAAAACATTCCCCAATATAATGGCAGCAATGACGGCTGTATGATACTGCGGCATTGATGAGTGGCGTGCCCGTGAGTTGAAATTTTATAGTATGCTAAAGCTAAGGGAATTCGTCTACTACAAAACCAAAACATTATTTAGAATCGCGGGGCATTTCTGAACAAATACCTGCAAGAAACTTGTGCTGTACGTCTGTAAGAAATAGGACTTCCTTCTCAAAATCGCCTAAATTACAATTTCTCATGTTTTAAACATTTCAAACAAAAAATAATTTAATATAAATTCTACCGAAAACCATTCCATGTTTGTTCTTTAACAACAATTCAGTACATCTACATGTATATATAAAATACTTGCTAAACAACCATTATCCTCATAATAACAGTTCATTCGCTCGTGATCTAGGTACAACTAGTTTTACCAAAAAAAATAACTCAAAAATTGTTAGGCAGCCACAGTGAGCCACATCGCTGTGCAAGTAAGCATTGAAGCTTGGGTTTGGTAAAGTTTGAAATAAAGTTATTGGGTCCCTTACCCTGCCATATTGAAAGAAATATTGTCCAGGTGTATGATGGCTTATATTTTGCCCAAATAAAACCACATAAATCACCTCTCGAACTGCCGCAACACCAGCTTGGTTGTCCTTACTCAACTAATTTCATTCAGGGAAGAGGATTCTAATTGCAGTGACCGAGTATATATATAGTTAGTTTTATTTGCTAGTTTTGGGTCTGTTCTAAGGTTTGACTGTTGCGTTGGTTTATACGAACTTGCATGGTAGGCTTAAAAGGTTAAATGTGTTAACGATGTTTTCTCTTGATTTATAATCAGCATATGGAGATAACAGACACAATCAGTCCTACCTTTCAGCACCGGCACATCCTTATTCTTACAAGTACAAGTTTAACGCCTGAAAAGGAGCCAGTGTTGGCATGTGAGTCAGATGAAGAATATGCATGCTGGAGGGATGCCTTGCACCAAGCTATTTTGGATGTTACAGCATGGAAAACAACCTGCCAACAAGAGATGAATATAGTTTATCCATCTCAACACAAACGTTCCTTTGTTGAGAACAAAACCTTATATGATTCAGTTGAGGTTCCACTGTCATCTTTTGCTGGTGAGTTGCAACATTGCTCTTCTAGTTTTGTGGGTCTCCCATAGGCCCATAAGGAAAACCAGGAATCCGGAAACAGAAACAGAAACAGAAACAGACCTAGGGTAACCACCAAAACTTAGCGAGAGACAAATACCTTCTATGGTTCCGTCAATTCCAAGCCTGCTCATCTTCTCTCCCTCCCCCTCTCCCTTTCCCACACCCTGGCATTTGACATTTTGTTTTTATAAATTTGCAAATGCCCCATCGTGGGACAGCTAGTGCATGCAAAATGCCTATCGTGGGGCCGTGGGAAAAGTGTTGTTCAAAAGACTAGATACCCGGCAGTCAAAAATTTTGAACCATGAAGTTCTTGACTACAATGAACGATTTATTTTTTAAATTTATATCTATTATAAACACACTTTTTTAAAACTGGCCAACAGTTCTAAGAACTGCAAACTCCGCCTTCACTCAGTAGTTCTCGGTATCAACAATGTCACGCAACCTGTGGCTAACTTTCGTTGTGTTACAGTTATGTGCTCTTATGCCGAGACAAAATGAACAATTCAATGTAGACGCCTGATGTAATGTCATGTCATGTCATGAAATGAAATGAAGTGTAATGTGATGGGATGTGATGGGATGGGATGGGATGGGATGGGATGGGATGGGATGTGGATGTGGATGTGGATGTGAATGTGATGTGATGTGAATGTGATGTGATGTGAATGTGAATGTGAATGTGATGTGAATCTTACTGATAGTGATCATGCACTTAGCTATACAAGCACTAAGCTTAGCTAGTTTACAGGCATGCCACTGAAACAAAGGAAACAAACATTTCAAATAAACGTAATGTAGTTCAAAATGCCGAGTGGCAGGAGGCAGACCAGTTGGCTATTTAGAAAGCGTGACCGAGGATTTGAACTCGGGAATACCGAGAAACAAATCGCGCTAGTGGCAGCGTGGAGGCCTTGAACCTGGGACCTCCGGATTACAACACCAGCGCCCTAAACCACTCGGCCACGCTGCCTCCTGTAAAGTTCGGAAATCCCTTGGTATTTCTACACAGAGGTTGGGCATTCTCAGCAGGGTCGAATGGAAATTTTGATGGGAAAACGGAAAGAATTTCTGACTGCCGGGTAAAAAATAGTTTTTTTGAAAAACCGTGCCCGTGAGCCACATAAAGTTCGGACAATTTGTGACTTGCAAACCCAAAGTATTTTTCAAAAATACATTTCCTCGTCAGTAATATAAGTCAAACCAGATATCAAAATAAGCTTGATTTTTCATAACTAACCTCTCTATAAAGAGGTCTCTTTTAATCTGTTTAATACGTGCTAATTTTCAGTACAACAGTATAAACAGTACTCTAAATAGCTCTAGGACTAAGTCAACAGACAAGTTAAACATAAAGTAATAACCACCAACAATGTGACAAATGAAGGCACAACAAATCTTAACTTACAATCCTCGGAAACATAATGCCCATGACATGTTTTCAGCATAATCCTAACTATTTGCATTTCTCGCTAGGCCCTTTTGTCTGAACGAGTCACAAATTCAGAACTCTTCCCACAAATATTGTCAATCGTGCCATCCACCATCGCTGCTCACCTCGATTTTCTCGCACACGGAGGACCAGCATGAATTTATAGGATTGTTGATGGGGCACGAGCTAATTTCCAGTGGGTTAAATCTTGGAAAAAGAGTTTACATCTACGCTCTTTACTTGGGGTAAATCCTTCTGATGTTTAGTAAAGCAGGCTTACATTTTAAAAAAAGTCGTGAAGTGTAATCCTTCGTTTTTGACTGAATTCTTAAATGCCCCACCCCTGGGCAGCCTTTGCAACCAAATGCCACATAGTGGGGACCTACAACCTACACCCATAATGACCTACACGTAATGTGATAATGTCCTTTTGACTCGACAGAAACCGTTATAAATGATGGTAAACGTCAACCCCTGTGCGAACTGAAATCAATTCCGGCAGATTCCCCAAGCATTGAATGCACATATGACATCTGGCAAAAAAGAGACCCCCTAAACAGAAGCTTCAGAAAGGGAAAGAAGAAAGGAGCTGATGAGAATGTGTTAAATTATGAAACTACAATTTAACTCTTTATTCATGGATCCGGGAAGTAATCGTCGCAGAGAAAACAGTCGCACTAAAATAGTGTATTAGTGACAGCACCCCTCACCTCTCACCTCCTTGTCTTCTCTGTTTTCCTCCGTCAAGAGGTACGCCAGTCTTAGAGGAAATCACACTCTAGCTATACGTGAAGGAACATGACTGTATATAGAATTAAGTGTAACCCATGTTCTTAAGTATTGGACTGAGTGTGCACATTAGTTGCAGTTTTAACTGTAGACTGGAAGCAACCTTTGAGTTGATCGTTCGCATGAAGGCAAGACTGCAGACTTTCTAACTGTCTAGATAAAATTTGATTTGTGATTTTCGCCGCGTCGGAAAAAGAATTCTATCCCAAAAAATTACACTTTACTGAAGTAGATTGAAAATAGACCAATTTCGATATATTAAAATTCAGCCTAAAACGATAGACCTCAGTACGAGGCTCTGGGGAATAACTATAGAGTTTGTGGGGTTTATTCCCTCGTACTGAGGTCTATTGTGTTAGGCTGAATTTTAATATATCGAAATTGGTCTATTGCGGCTAAAATTTCAGCGGAAAATAAGCATCTTATATAGCACGTAGCCTGAGAGAATTTTCTGGATGTATCAATCACTGTTCTCCTCTGTGTTATTGCACTACAATAAAACTCCGCGTGTAAGAACCTACATTTATTAAGTATGGCAAAATAGGTTCTTGTATTTTGGGGTAGTTATTGGTAATCTAGGCTAAGTAGGTCCTTAATTAGGTTCTTAATTTCTATAACGGAAATGAAGTTGTTGATTAGCAGAAAAGTAACTACACTTGCGTTTGGTCCTTAAATACAGTATTTATTCAAAGCTGTATTATGATAAGCCAAATTATGACACAAATGATTACAGAATGCACAGGTAGTGTTGTCTCTATAACGAGTTGTAAAATGAGTTGTAAAATGTAAGTGATAACCCTCTGTATACGAACCTGTTTGATCATGCTTGGCTAAACAGGTTCTTATATTTTTCGGTTTTTAAATTGCAAATTTCTACCAGCAGGTTCTTAAACTACTAGGTTCTTACATGCTAGTTTTTACCGTATCTCTCCCGGGGGACCAACCGCTGACCGGGCCCTGTTCACGGGCTAATTTAACAGCTTTGATTCAACTGTCTCTTTGCACCATGTGTAAAGGCGTGGAAAACTAGTCGTGGAAGTCATAAAAAGTCTGAAGGTTGCGTGATCACACTTATCTTTCAGCTAGCTGGCCATTTCCCTAGCAGTGACGTAATCCTCCAAGTACCTTTATCTTAGTTGCAATATATATAATTCTACTGAACTTGCTTGAATGACGCAATAAGAGAGAGAATTATTCGGAAAACTGTAGTGAGATTCATGATTGTGGCGACTGGCGAAATAAGATTTCAAAAGAAGAATGACTTGATTTAGCGAGCTGCCTGAGAAATGTTGCAAAGTTGACACATTGTATGAATGACCTGGTCGTCTTTATTTCAAAGTCTTGCCCGGCCAAATAAGTTTGGTTTTTACAACGTAAATTATTAGTACTCGTTCTAGTTTTAGTAGTTTATACGCTTCAACAACTCGAAAAGGTAGTATAATCACACCAAAAGCAGATTTTAGCAGGACTCTTGCAAAGTATAGAAACGGACAGCGGATAGCTGAAAATAATAAGTAAATTAATTAATTAATTTTAAATTATTAAATTAAAAATGAAGGAATGGATTGTAGGCACACGGACAAGACTTTTTACTGGTTTATTGTGTCAACGAATTTTTCTGTAATACCCCGAGGCCGAGAAAATAAAATTATTATTAGATAGAGCGTTGCCTTTGGAATTGTCTTTGTTATGTCGATCGTTTCCCGCAAATTTCGCCATCCTGCCACATGTTCCAACCACACCAAAACCGCTGACACAACACACAATAAAAGCATTATTACATACTCTTCATTTCCTATGTATTGTTATTTTATTTTTTCAGTCTATTATTTTTACGTAATTATACAATTAACTATTCAAACTCGTTTATATATTGGATTTATTTTTTATCGTTTTGTGCCATCCGCCATCCGTTTCCTCGTTTTGCAGAGTCCCAATGTTACCAGCACTCCATTTAGCGTCCAGACTCATTCAAAACAGCAGACTTCAACAATAACTTAATTTAGTGTTACTGCTATGAGAAATAAAGATATTGTTATTCGTGGTATTGAGGCCTTTTAAGGCCTAAGAAAAATAATAATTGAAATTGTAAAACCAATCACAGTATTCTTCTCCACAACATGCCGCTTGTGAAGCTCGGAGAAAACTTGAAGCTTCGCATAAGAAAATGAAACAATCTAGAACTATGAAAACTACCAAATCTCTCAGAATGACATCAAAATATATGTTAACAGCAATTCATTTGGACCGTCGATAAAACCAGGAACATGGAACATCCCGGAGCATTCCGGAACATCGAATAATTATGTAAAAAATATGAAAAATATGTAAATTAAATTTTCAAAACTAAAATAAACAAAAAATAAACTGGTGTCAGCTCGAAATATGAAAAGATATTATTGGGGATAGGGGAGTCGGTAGGGGAGGGGTAGGGAGCGTTGGGTATTCATTCAACTGACTACAATGAGTGCAGGCTCCTCTAATTTACCTCGGTCTGTACTCACGACCTCGGTCAAGATTCTCCCATACAGACCTCCTGCTCGGTTAATGAGAGCTAAGTAATCAATGATTAGAGCAGCGCGGTCACGCGCGTACTTCTTATGTCTGGTCTACTTCGGTGGTGTTCGAATGACTCGTTAGAAAACTAAGTTTGATCGAATGTCCCATTGTCAGATAACGATTTGCACGTGAAGTTGAACTAGCGATGAATAGATTATAGCCTGCGGTAAAAGCATTTTAAATTAATTAAGTATTAACTTGTACTGGACAAAACGTTTTCCGGGAAATGCATTTGAATTGTTGGCGACACTTAGAATTCAATTTCAGATGGCCAACACTTGTAACAAATATTTCTTGAGACAATAGATCGTTTTCATGTGACTCATTATTTTTTAAAATCGAAAACTAAAGAGCCACCAAAGTTTTTATCCCCATCAGGCATAAGAGGGGATAAATTTATATCTGTATACAATGTCACAGCTCAATGGTGTGCTTCGTTTGAGAACCAGCGCATTTTGAATTTCAGAGTTAAGGCGGTGCGTGACACAAAGCTGCAATCGCATTTGTCGAAAAATATATACCTGTGTCATGATTTTTAGCTTTTCTAGAAGTTAGATCATTAGGAAAAGTGCTTATGTAAATGTTTGTTTGTTCAATACAGATAATCAGTCGCCTAGATAGCCATTGTAAGTTTCAGATGTTTACACTATTTTCTGGCCGCCATATTGGTGCACCACAGAGGTGCACCTGCGAAACATTTCGACAAATATCTGCAGTATGGGAAAATGCACAAACCTAAAACTTGGAGAAGTGTCCTCTCTATCTATTTCCTATAAAATCAAAATTTATTCACTTTATCCACCGAATAGTTTTCGATTTATTCTTTTTTTATTGCGTAACAGTGAAAACGATCTATAAAGTTTTGACCAGCGACCCTGCAAGACAGTGCGCGCGTCGCCAAATGTTTGTAAATTTTGTGTTTGTATTTGTTTACACTGTCATCAGAGCTCGAGCAGTCCGAGCTAGTTTACACAAGAGACTCAGTGCCGAAGAATTTCTATTTCTATCTCATGGAAGAAACTATTTCTTCATCAGAAATCGTGTATACGCATATCTTTGTATTGACGTAATGAATTGAATAAAGAAATCACAATCGCGTGTACCCATATTTCTAGGTCTGATTAAGGAGTTCGAACGCCACCACCTTGGTTTTTCTGTGAAGAACGAAGTCAAGGAATAAGGGACAGTCACGTGATTAAACTGACGGCGAACGACTGAAAGGAATGGGTTACTCTTCTTAGTTGCTAGCCTTCACTCATTGCAATCACTTTCGTGTTTCTTTCTTTTTTTTCCTGTTTTTTTGTTATGTTGTTGTTTTGTTTTTATTTTCCGAGCTGATACCAGTTTATTTTTGTTTGATTTAATTTATAAATATTTAATTTTACATATTTTTTGCATAATTATTATAATTATTTGATGTTCCGGGATGTTCCGGAGTGTTCTGGAATGTTTCGGAATGTTCCATGTTCCTGATTTTATCGTTAACGGCCGTCGATAAAACCAGGAAAAATGGAACATCCCGGAACATTCCGGAACATCGAATAATTATGATAATTATGAGAAAAATGTAAATTTAAATTTTCGAAAATAAAATAAGCAACAATAAACTGGTGTCAGCTCGAACTATGAAATGATATTTTTGTGGGTAGGGGAGTTGGTAGGGGAGGGGTAGGGAGCGTTGGGTATTCCTTCAACTGACCACAATGAGAGCAGGCTCCTCTTCTTTCCCGCAAATAGCGTCGCGTGGTTTTAGAGCACTCTGTTTTTCAAAACAAACATGGACGATTCGGACGATGAATGCCAGGTAATTCATTGCGTTTCCTTTGTTGATGCCTGATTTCTTCAACATCTGAGGTGTTCGTATCACACAGTTGCTTGTAAAGTCAGTAGCCATAGTTTTGTCACTGTTCCGTCTTCACGTTGCAATTATCATCCCAGTTTCGCGCTCTCCGCTAGGAACGTCTGGCACTATGCCCACCAAGTGCAGACTCAGCCGGTCAAAGATTAGGGTAGTGCGTTCACGCGCGTACTACGCATGTTTGGTCTACTTTGGTGGCGTTCGAATGACTCGATAGAAAACTAAGTTTGATCGAATGTCAGATACCGATCCGCACGTGAAGTTGAACTAGCGATGAATAGATTATAGCCTGTGGTAAAAGTGTTTTTAATTAAATAAGTGTTAACTTGTACGCGAGAAAACATTTTCCAGGAAAGGCATTTGAACTTTTGGCGACACTTAGAATTCAGTTTCAGATCGCCAACACTTGTAACAAATATTTCTTGAGACAATAAAGTTTTGACCAGCGACCCTGCAAGACAGCGCGTCGCCAAAAGTTTTCAAATTTTGTGCTTGCATTTGTTTACTCTTACATCAGAGCTCGAGCAGTCTGAATTAGTTTACACAAGACACTCCGTGCAGAAGAGTTTCTATTCCTATCTCATGGAGAAACTATTCGTTCATCAGAAATCGTATGCACATATATCTTTATACCCATATTTTTCGGTCTGATTAAAGAGTCTTGGTTTTCTATGAACAACGAAGTCTGGAAATCAGGGACAGTCACGTGATTAAACTGACGGCGAACGACTGGAAGGAATGGATTAGTCTTCTAAGTTGCGAGCCTTTACTCATTCCAGTCATTTTCATTTTTCTTTCTTTCTTTTTCTTTTTTTGTTTTGTTTTTTTATTTTCCGAGCTGTGATCAGTTTATTTTTGATTAATTTAATTTTTGAAAATTTAGTTTTATTTATTT